TAAACAGCATTTATTTCTTTTAAACGAAACTAAACACTGCTCCAAATGTGTTATGAAGCTGCTGCTGTCAGGGAACGACTCAACAGTTTTGTATAAATAAAAGTTCTAACGTTATGAAACTTTCTCAAGGACTATGACCAAGTAAATAATCGTATTTCATCAGTGAATATGTCCACGAAGGAAACAATATTCAGAAACCGATATCCGATCCTGCAATTTTTTCAGTATCCAGGCTGATATTCAATACTAGATCAGTCAGGTTGGTGCATCCTTAAGTAGTAGTAGTAGTAGTAGTAGTAGATGCAGTAGTAGTAATACGAGGAGCAGCAATTATCATGTCACCTGGTGTGGTATGTTTTAATTCAGGGGTGTCTGTTTACATGATGTGAGCCAACAGTAGTAATGGTAGAAGTAGAAGTAGTAGACAGTAGTAGTTAGTAAAAGTAGTAGTTAGGGCTGTTCGATTATGGAAAAAATCATTATCACGATTATTTTGGTCAATACTAAAATCAAGACTATTCAAATTATTATTTTTTTAGTTACATAATGCATTTATTCAACAATTTTCTCTCAAAAAACACAAAACTTTCAAACTGAAAATAAATTCAGGCTACAAATATGTACCTTAGAAAAACATAAAATCAATAAAATAAACTTTGAACATGAAATAAGGCATAGAAAACATAAATGTATCCAAAATAAACTATATTTCTAGCTGTTCTACAATCTCTATATTTAAAAACATAAATAGATATACTTATTTACATATAAAATAAATAAATAAACTTTGTTAAGCTTTAAATCGTTTCAACTCGATTATATAAGTTTGGAGACTGAAATTGCAAAAGAGACTGCGATCAAAATTCGATAAATTGCACAACCTTAGTAGTAGTAGTAGTAGTAGTAGTAGTAGTAGTAGTAGTAGTAGTAGTAGTAGTAGTTGTTGTTCCGTACATAGTCAAATCATCGTACTTTATTTTCACACTGAGTTTTGTTATTAAACTGTAGCAGCAGTATAAGTTGTTTTCTTATTAATGCTGTGCAGTTTAAATCATATATTGCACGATTAAATATTTTAAGGGTGTCCAAAATTTTGAAATATCTATATATCGTATCATTTAATGTGATGATACAGAACTGATATCGTGGGCTGCTGTATCGATATATCGCCAAGAGTTTTTTGGGGTTTTTTTTGGTATATTTTACTAATTTATTTTGTTACAGTGCTACAGTTTTGTTGTTTGTGTGGTGGGAAAAAAAAATGTTTATGCAACACATTTGACATTTTCACGGATTTGATGATTTAACAAAGACTTTTAGTATCACAGCCATGATACACACAGGATATCAGCTGAAACGATATTCAGAAACCGATTTACGATCCAGCAAATTTTTCAGTATCCATGACGATATCCAATACCAGATTGGTGCATCCTTATATAGTAGTAGTAGTAGTAGTAGTAGTAGTAGTAGTAGTAGTAGTAGTAGTAGTAGTAGTAGTTAGGAATGTGACAATATCCAAATCTCTCAGTACGATATTTTCACTATGTACATCTGACGGTACGATATTTACTGTGATTTTTTGTAGTGGCAACAACAAAACTGTGAATATGGTACTTTTTCCTCTTAAAATGCCGATATCCGATACCAGATTGGCACATCCTTAAGAAGTAGTAGTAGTAAGTAGTAGTAGTAGTAGTAGTAGTAGTTACGGATGTAATGATATCCAAATCCCTCGGTACGATATTTTCACAATAGACATCTGATTGTACAATATTTAGAGGCTAATAAAACTGTGCATATGTGACTTTTTCCTCTTAAAATGGAGCAAAGGATCATGGTCTATGTAGTTCCCTCTGTTTATTTATTTATTTTTTAGCTATTGCTGCACCAAAACTCTTCATTTAAGCAAAGAAACTTGTAATTCGATATATTGTGATGGTCCACGATGTCATTGTGAGAACTTTGACGATACGATATCATGATATTTTGTAGTAGTAGTAGTAGTAATAGTAGTAGTATATTGATAAAAAACAAGTTTATAGAGATTTTGTGTTATCGATCTGTGGTCATAACTTGATTATTACATTATTTTGAGACATAAACGCAGGTGATTATTCGTGGTGCTTTAGTCAGACTGTCAGATCATCTATCAGTGAACATATTTTGCAATATCACGCAGCCTCCCCCATTTCAAATTACGCCAAAAAAAACAGTAATCCGAAAGTATTATCACAAGTTCAATCTTGTCCAACCAGGACCAAACTCAGGATTTACACAGGACTAAGGCATGTATGTAGGACAAAGTGTTTTAAGAATAAGCAGGCAAATAAACAAAGATAATACCAAATCTAGGACTAAACCAGGACTAACCCAGGATTTAACAGGACTAAAACAGGTGTGGGACAGTGTTTTAGGACTAGCATGGAAAATTAAACACAAGACCAAATCTAGGACTAAATCAGGACTAACCAGGAGTAACTAGGGCTAAATTAATCTAGGATTAAACTAGACCTGTCCTTAAAAAATGTCTAAAACCAGACTAAATCAAGAATAAGGGTCCTTCCAATGATAGAACCAGGCCAAACCAGGACTAAACCAGGTCTAATCCATGCCACATATCAAGACTAAACCAAGACTAAACAAGGGCTAAACCAAGTCTAACCCATGCCACATAGGACTAAATCAAGCCAAAACATGGGCCAAACTAGGACTAAACCAGGTCTTACCCATGTCACACATCAGGACTAAACCAAGACTAAACAAGGGCTAAACCAGGACTAAACCAGGACTAAACCAGGTCTAAACCAGGACTAAACCACAGGTCTAATCCACGCTGTACATAGGACAAAGTGGTTCAAGACTAAGCTGGCACATTAACCAGGACAACACCATAACTAGGACTAAACCAGGACTAACCAGGCTCAAATTAATCCAAATAGAATAGAGATAGATAGAAAACCAGATAGAACCATACCAAACCAGGATTAAACTAGGTCTAACCCATGCCACATATCAAGAATAAACTAAGACTAAACAAGGGCTAAACCAGGACTAATCCATGCCACATATCAGGACTAAACCAAGACTAAACAAGGGCTAAACCAGGACTAATCCATGCCACATATCAGGAGTAAACCAAGACTAAACAAGGGCTAAACCAGGACTAATCCATGCCACATATCAGGAGTAAACCAAGACTAAACAAGGAATAAAAGACTAATCCATGCAAACAAGTAACCAAGACTAAACAAGGAATAAACCAGGACTAATCTATGCCACATATCAGGAGTAAACCAAGACTAAAAAAGGGCTAAACCAGGACTAAACCAGGTCTAACCTATGCCACATATCAGGACTAAACCAAGACTAAACAAGGGCTAAACCAGGACTAAACCAGGTCTTAACCAGGTCTAATCCACGCCTTACATAGGACAAAGTGGTTCAAGACTAAGCAGGCAAATTAACCAAGACAAAACCAAATCTAGGACTAAACCAGGACTAACTGGGCTCAGATAAATCCAAAATAAAACCAGACAGAACCGTACTGAACCAGGATTTACCCAAGCCTAACCCTTGTAGCGCATCATTTCTAAACTGGGAATGAACCAGCACTGAACCATACCAAACAAACCAAACGGAGACTAAATCTGGACTAAAGCATGACTAAAATGCTGGACATGGCATGATGGACTTTGGTATTTCAAAAATCTTTGCCCGGCCTCCCTGAAAACACATTCTAGCCGGGGTCTTTGGGGTGGCACAAACACGGTCACTGCCCACCCTTTTCATCTCCTACGCATGCTTGCATTGCCATGTTTTTTCTATACTACTCCTACTATACAACCCGGACTTAAGCTAGCTCCCTCACAAGCTGTAGCGTCATGACATTTTACGCGCACTTTCTCACGTCGGAATTTCCACAAGAGCACGTATAATCACGCAGAACTCCCTGAAAACCCACTCTCAACATCTTCCCCCTAATCCTTGGGAGAGAGCCAGGCGTGAAAAGTCGTGTCGCAGTTCTCAGCCCGAGCCTTCTTTATCGCGTGCTGCCGTCCCGCGTCACGTTACTAAAAAACCCGAGCGGCTCCCTTTGATGTTTCGTTCACGCGTGACGTCGCCGCCGCAAATCCCACCGCGAGGACACACGTACAGCCCCGCGAGGACACACGTACAGCCCGCCAAACCGTGCCAAATTCGCCTCGACGCGGGCATAGTAGTCAGCGGTGCAAAAAAAAAAAAAAACAGCGGTGATTAAGAAAAAAAAAACAACAACTAGCGGCACTTTTTGCACACGATAGTCGTTTGAACGTCAACTTTCGCCGCGTATCTAAGCGGAAAAGACGTTTATGCACGAGGTGAGTTACGGAGTTTGGCTTGGAAACGGCGTATTCCTCCAAGTGCCACAGTTTTGAATGGAGCTCGCTCGCTGCCGTGGCGTAACCTCAAAGCTTGAAGCACGCTCCCTGCCAGTGCTTTTTTTTTTTTTTTTTTTTTACGGCTTCGCCACCGCTTCTCTTCGTGATTTTAGCCAACAAAAGTATCCAAGCCAGCGGTCCCGAGCCCCCACGTATGCGCCCGAATGACAAGCTTGTTTTCCTTAATTCTACAACGGCGCATGACAACACGTAGTCCTCCTCACCAACAACACCACCACCACGTCCATCACAATGCAAAAGGGGGTTTAAGAGTTGCGGGTTTTCTTACGAGGAAGCTTGAGCGAAGTGATGCCCGCCGTGCAAGCGACAAATCCACAGCGTATTCCCACGCCAGCGCGCACTTCCAGCCATCCAGCTCGTTATAAATCCACTCATTGAACTTTACGGACAGTTATCCCGACTTGGAAAAACAACAGCATCCACGGGCATGGGCATGTAGCGGTCCGCTTTTACGCAGAGAGGGGGGTAAAAAAAAAGGCACTCTCCCGGCCGCTGCGAGCACGCAAATCGACGGGAAAGTAGACATCCAAGACAAGGTGAAGAAAACAGGGATCCTACCTTTTTGAAGAGCCGCGAGAAAGGTGGTTAAAAAGAGAATAGTCGCAAGAGATCCGATGCGAGCGTACGCCATGTTGGACACCTGCTTCAGTATGGAGAGGAGAGAGGGGCTGCTGCGCCTAGAGCTGCCTTGAGCGGCACTAATGAGATGCGGAGTAGGCAGGGCTTGTTCACCATATTCATAACGGAGCGGCGGTACACACGCGGCACCGCAGGCTCACGATTTATGAGCTCCGTGGCACGCGTTTGCTTTACGGTAGACCATTACGCACGGGCGGGGGGACACGGAGTGGGGTATGTAACAAAGAAAAGTGCCCCAACAGAAAGGGCAAATATTATGTTAAGCTCGTTATAATACATAAAACAAAAAGACAATTAACAAAAGGTCTATAAATCTTATTTTATTTCAGCGTGGTTAGCGTTTATGAAATATTGCGAAAAGAAAATGTTATTAAAAGGGCTCGTATTATGCTTATTAAGAAGCTGCCCATACGATACATAGCTCGATACATGTTTTAATTTATATTTTGTCTCTTATACTGTAAGTCGTAAGTGAAATTGTAAATGCAATCTTGCTGTTCATGCGCTGTTTTTCTTTCTTAGAATTCTGTCATTTTTTTATCGGTATGTATCGATAATACTTTTATACACTTTCGGATCATGATGCATGGGGTTGTAGTCATAGTGCCACGATACGATACATACATATACATACAATACACAGGCCAACGATACGATACATACATACTTGATACATAGGCCACGATACGATACGATACATACTTGATACATAGGCCACGATACATATGATACATACCTACGATACATACGATACATAGGCCACGATACGATACATATTTCAATACACAGGCGATACATACGATACGATACATACCATACGATACGATACGATACATAGGCCACGATATGATACATATCTCGATACAGTACACTTTTGATTTGATACAATATATTTCAAATCAATTCAATATGTTTCATTAATAAATCAAGGCTAAATCATGGTTGTGATTCTAAAAGTCTCTAAAAGTTGTTAAACCACTTCTTGTGCAAAGTTCATATGAAACACAAACATTTTAATAATAAAAACAGTGAAAATGTTAAATGTGTTGCATAAACGAGTTTTTTTCCACTAAACAAGCAACAAAACTGTAGCTCTATAGCAAAATAATTTTGTAAAATATACCAAAAAATACTCTTAGTAATATATCGATTCAGCATCCCACGCTATCGATACTGTATCATCACATTAAATGATACAATATATCGATATTTTTGCAAACACACCCGGAGTTGTGTTTTGTTTCATTCACGCTTGTTAAACGCACAAACTTTGCATATTTAGGCTGAGTTCTTCGCTCAAACAGAAAACCCACCTTGTGCTGTCATCTGGTAACACAGGAAGTGCTCCATTGTGTTTTTAAACTCCATACACTTTCACTAGAATCATTTGGATCATTTCATCCCTGGGAATTGCCAATATCTGTTAAACTAAAAGTAAAAGTTTGCTGTTAACATGAAAACTACCGCTTCATGACATCACAAGGTGAAAATGAGCATTTGAGTTTCGGGGGACATAGAGAGGCCAATAAACCGGGATTACTCGAACGTGTGACCGAAACAAAAATAACTCCAGGTATGTTTTTGATGAGGTGGCTCGAAGTTCACAAGAGTCAATTTTGTGTAATATAAGACCTTTAAAATCAATTGTAGCATAAAATCAATAGCAGCATATTGGACTGCATTGAGTTTGACAGTGTAGCCAATAGCAATTACTGTAACATGCGGCAAATGCGTTCACCTTCTCAAAATATTGAATGGAGCGTAGACAGGTTGTAAAGTGCATCTCTAGTCTCTCAAGTCTGTGCACAAAGATAATCCCTTGGCCGTTATGTAAACAGTGTTATGTAAAGACGCATTATAAAACAACTTCCGGTGTTACACTTGGTCAACGTTTCAGGCTCCTATTAAAAAAAAAAAAAAACTCCACAAAAATAGTTATAAATATACTTTATATTCATATTGATTGACTCTTATGTAACAGATAATATTCCCAAAAACTGTACAAGAACTCACTCTTATGTAGCAGATAATACTCCCTACAACTGTATAACTTGCCCTAATGTAACGGATAATACTCCCTACACCTGTACAACACTTACCCTTATGTAACAGATAATGCTCCCTACAACTGTACAACAACTCACCCTTATGTAACAGATAATACTCCCTACAACTGTACAACAACTCACCCTTATGTAACAGATAATACTCCCTACAACTGTACAACATAACAGATAATACTCCCTACAACTGTACAACAGCTCACCCTTATGTAACAGATAATACTCCCTACAACTGTACAACATAACAGATAATACTCCCTACAACTGTACAACAACTCACCTTGAAGTAACAGATAATACTCCCTACAACTGTACAAGAGCTCACACCTTATGTAACAGATAATACTCCCAACAACTGTACAACAGCTCAGCCTTATGTCACAGATAATACTCCCTACAACTGTACAACAACCACTCTTATGTAACAGATAATACTCCCTACAACTCACCCTTATGTAACAGATAATACTCCCTACAACTGTACAATAACCACTCTTATGGAACAGATAATACTCCCTACAATTGTACAACAACTCACCCTTATGTAACAGATAATACTCCCTACAACTGTACAACAACCACTCTTATGTCACAGATAATACTCCCTACAACTCACCCTTATGTAACAGATAATACTCCCTACAACTGTACAATAACCACTCTTATGGGACAGATAATACTCCTTACAACTGTACAACATAACAGATAATACTCCCTACAACTGTACAACATAACAGATAATACTCCCTACAACTGTACAACAACTCACCCTGAAGTAACAGATAATACTCCCTACAACTGTACAAGAGCTCACACTTATGTAACAGATAATACTCCCAACAACTGTACAACAACCACTCTTATGTAACAGATAATACTCCCTACAACTGTACAACAACCACTCTTATGTAACAGATAATACTCCCTACAACTGTACAACAACTCACCCTTATGTAACAGATAATACTCCCTACAACTCACCCTTATGTAACAGATAATACTCCCTACAACTGTACAACAACTCATCCCTATGTGATGAATAACTCTGCGTCCTGTCAATCATCATATTGTTGTTGTCTTCTTTTGACCTCTTGTATAAAACTGAGATTATAACCTTATTTTTCTATTTTAATTTGACTTGTAAACACATATTTATATAATTATGTCTTATTTGACACCTGTCTTTTGCTCTTTTTGCTACTTTTTTAGAATTTATTATTACCATTTATATTTTTGCTCTTTGTTATTATATTATATTGTGATGTGTGAGCTACTGTGTCCAAATATTTTCCCTCATGGATCAAAAAAGTTAAGTGTAAGTCTAAGTAATACTGAAATAAAATTAAAGATCCAATATATTACACAAAATGGACTTTTGTGAGCTTTATGACATGTTTTAATGCTGTGACCTCAGCAAAAATCATACCCGGAGTTGTGTTTTGTTTCATACACACGTTTGAGTAATTATTATGTCTTGTCCGTCAAGCTTTTTTTTTTTTAAATTAATTTATTTGTTATTAAATTATGATGAGACATAAATTAAAATAGATGACAGTATATCAAACCTAATAAGGGAGACTAAACCCTCCTCAATTTGATCAGTTACATCAACCACCAGATTAAGGCATCAGTCTTCAGATACAAACAAACATCCAGCTCCTGTTTTCCATTAAAATACATTTTTGTTCTATGTACTTTCTATTGTACATAGAGTTGCTTTTTTTTTTTTTTTTCCCCACTAATTTACAAATATAGGTGTTGTGATGATAAAATCAGAGAGATGTATATTTTAGGATTCTGGATTGTAGAGTATGAATGCTGTCTGTGTGTTGTGTGAATGTTGTCTTTGTTTGTTTGTCTTTTGTTCTGTTTTGATTAGTTTTTTCTTTCTTTTCTGTAAATGCTACTTTTGTTAATGTATTAGGACCCCCACGCAAATGAGATGCTACATCTCGAGGGGCTTCCCTTATAAATAAAACAAAATAAAATGTAAATAAAATCAAATAAATGACATGAAAGTGGCATCAGCGACTGAAATGGGGGAGGACATCTAACTGTGTATTAAGTCTTTGTGTAGGTCGATGTCTGTCAACAAGCTCAAAACACTCTATTCCACCTTGTGATGTCAGGAGAACTTCTGGTATTACCACGTGACATCACAAGGTGGCTCAGCGTAATTATGCAGGGTGTATGCGTGTGAAGTAAAAAACACAACTCCAGGTCTGTTTACGATGAGGAAACGAAATTATAACGTAGATCAGAAAATACCGTAATATGTCCTCTTTAAAATGGTTGAAATTAGTTAAGTTATTTAGTGTCAAATTCATTTATACTGGGTTCGAACGGTCATGGAAATCCCGGAAAAATCATGGGAAGTGAAAATGTCACCAAAAGTCATGGAATTTTGTAAATCCAATGAAAGTTTTGGAAAAGTCATGGACTTTTAGTATCTCTTTCACGCAACTACAGCGTTCTGTTAAGTTCTCATGAGCCTATTATGATTATTTCTGAACGTCTGTGCCTTTTGTTTAAAAGAGACGACAATAAATGCACTGAGAGTATTCTGAATGCTAGAAAAAAGTGCATGGGAAAAAAGTGGATATGACGTTTTAAAAAAAATATTCTAAATGTAAAATACCACTAAAGAACATAAGCTGCTAGAAATAAATAGCAGAATGAAACATGTTCGTAGTTAGTTTGTGGCTGTAATGGGTCATAGAAGTTTATTTATTCAACTTTCCCCACAGTCATGGAAATCCTAGAAAAAAATTGTAAATTCAATGAAACTTTTGGAAAAGTCATGGAATTTTAGTATCTCTTTCGCGCCACTACAGCGTTCTGTTACGTTCTCATTAGACTATTACCGTATTTTTCGGGCTATTAGGCGCTCTGGATTATAATGCTCACTGTCATTAAATGGTCTTTTTTCAGAAATAAACAG